ATCCTAGGGGGTAGTAGCTCTAAAAACAAGATAAGTCAGAGGGAAGCTGAACTGCAGAACAGGCATGTGAGTAAAGTAAGTGAAACAGGAGGTGAAATCATCAGGAAAAATTATGCTAGGGCCCTCAGAGAGCTGGAAAACAGATTATTCTCCTCCAGCTTTTTCCCTCAGAAGCAGCCTATGAATTCTCAGTCCACACAATTGTGTTGGCTTAGTTAAAGCATTTTTAACTGGCCACAAAAATCCATACTGTACTTACATGCAAATTCACACACAGAATTTCCTCCAGTTTCCTCGACAAAACACATTTCAGGAGGCATGAAAATCTGTCACGGAATTCTCACAGGAAACAGATTTCCACAGATCTCCTGAACCATCTGGCATTCATAGATTACCCCAAGAAACACTGAGATCATCTCTGAAATGACAGAGAACTGGGCCAGACCTGATTCCTGCAGAACTGCAACCACCAGCAGCAGCTCTGGGGTGGATGTGGGTACCACAGAGCACCTTGTGGCACCACCTAATCCAAAAGGGCTGGCATGGCCTCGACAGTCCTAACTTTGCAGGAAGGCTAAAATAAGCAAATGAATAAATAAATAACAGAAAAGACAAAGACTGGAGTTTAGTCCGAATTCATCGGAGCTTTTAGGAGCCCAAATGTTACTGACCTCAGTCAGCTCACAAGGCAGAACTTGCTATTTGTAACACTAATTAAAATCTGAGAGAAAAGGGAAAATGACTTATGACAAAGAGCTCATCAATCTGTTTAGTAATCAAAGGAAAGATCAAGGAGGAACAAAAAATGATTTGATTACAGCACAAGTGTCTCGAAGGGAACAAGAAGGAAACACAAAAAGCCCCTCTGGGCAGGAAAGGCTCTTTAACAGAGCAAAAAAAGTCCTGACAAACACTGTCTAAAAGCTGCAGACAAATTCACATGGGAAGGCATGAATTTTTAATGGTGAGGCTGACAAATCACTCAAATCATCACTGAAGGAAGAAGGTTTTTTTATCATCGTCTTAAAAACAGCGACAAATTTCTCATCTGCCTCCGTGTCTTCCTCAGAAGGGTTGATGCAGCACTTCCTTCATGCAGGAACACAAAGAGCTGCCTAATGGCACAGCAGCAATCTGCTAATATCTGATTTCACTTTCAAAGCTAGAGGTTTCTGCTGAAAAAAACAACTAGCTACAATCCATACTTTGGGGTTTGTTACTCTAACCAAGTTTGGGTGTGATGATTCTATGCATTCACCAGTTCAATGTCTCCAGGCAGATAATCTCTTCAGGCCAAATCAAAGGGCACACCTTTTTCTCAAGGAGAAATTTAAAACTGTTCAGTTCAGGGACTCATGGAAGGTAAGGAAGGAAATGTTTCTGAGAGAAATGTACAAAAATCCATCCTTGAACACCTCACAGCCACAAGCCCTTACAGGCTTCCTAAGCAAACCAGGTCACTGCTCAAAAACTCAAACAACAGCCTTATTTTGGCCAAACTATGATGAAATACTCACACTGCTATGGAGAGAAGTGGGTTTGTGTTTTGCCTTACAGCACTGTAGCTGTTCAAAGGGAACACAGGACTGGGAAGAGGCAGAACACGAGGCAGGTGTGAGTTTTTGAGGCCAGAGAATTCAAGCTCATGGTGAGTTTTGGTAGTTGTGAGTGAACAGTAGAAGAACAGTCGGAAGAAAACAGTTTCTTGCATGTTCATCCCCACTCCTGCCTCAACTCTGTGTCCCGGTTGGTTCAGCATCTTGGCAATTTTAAGTGATTCTTTTCCAAGCCAGTCCCTTTCTGGTTAGCTGAGCTGAAAGAACAAGTGGAAAAACATCTGATCTCTGATTCTGAACAAACTGTGGCCGTTAATGGTTCAGTTCTCACCAATATTCACCTCGACATGGCTCCTGCCTTTACTCAGATCACTCCTCCTGCTGCTCCCAGCTCAGCCGAGGAGCATCATCCCTGTGGCATTTCCAGAGCTGCCAGCAGGGCAGGCAGGGAAGCCAGCTAACCCCTTAGCTACACCTCTGGTTACTTGCTGCTCCATGGCCAAGCAGAAAAATCTGGAAATCATAACACTAATGAAAAACCAGTATCTAGCATTAGATATTCCAGTGTGACAAACTATGAACCTGATGTATCCAAAACAATCCGTCCTGGTAAAATAAACCTCTCCTGCATCTGCAATGCCCAAGCAGTCCACTAAAGAATCACGGGGCATTGGCAGCACAGATGTGGCACTGAGCTCTGAAGAAATCTTGTATCCAGACAAAGAAAACCAGGTTGTGGCAATAAAGCTTGGAGGAACCAGTCAGCCTTGTCAGGGGACAAGTAGAAAGATGAAGCCCCAAACCCCTAATTCTCATAAGAGCAAGCCATGAACTTTCATACTCATAAGCAAATCTAATTTCTTTATTTAAACAGGCTCCAGAAAAATCTCTACTACTGTAGGAACTTCACCCTTCACTGGACCACAGTGACTGCACCAGCTGTTAGTCTGCTGGGGATTTTGGTTTGGGCTTTACCCCAGAAATGTAAAAGGTCTCTGCAATTTTTAAATTGCATTTAAACAAAGCCTGTGTATTCCCAAGTTTCTGGAAACGCTTGAAACATTACTGAACCTCATCTTACAACTAAATACATTACCTTAAGCATTACTCAGTTCCATGGAAACAATCTACTTGTACGTGAGTTCAAGTGTCACATTATCAGTTTAGCAAACCATGTTTTTCTTTTATCATTCCTGCATTGGAAGTAGGTTATATTACATTGCTTATCTAGATAATTCAGGTCCACATAAAATAATTAAAAATGTTTCATCCACAGATTGAGCTCTTCTTCCATCTAATGAGAAGGTTTCAACCTTCCTACTACTTGTGTAACTGCTGCCAAAGCAAAGTGTGGTAACACAATGCCACCTTCCCCCTTCCCCAGCCAGAGGTGAGTCCTTCATACCTGCAGCCTGGACAAGCTCTTGCTCAGCATCAAAACCTACCCCTGCACCGGCTATGACACCTAAAATGCAGCTTCCTAAAGATTAGATTAATTCACTCTTCTATTAGTTATGTAAATGTGTTTTTTAAACTAGAAAGACACCAAAAATCCTGAGCATTGCTTTTTCAGGTGGCTGTAGAAAATCTGTGGCAGCAACTACCTCCTGCAGCAGGGAATGAACCAGCACATGCTATAGCTGCTAGGTAGCTCTGGTGAAATCACTGGGATTCCTGACAGGAGGTGTGACCTTAATGCTCCTTCTGTTTGTCCCCAGCACTGACACACCCTTTGCTCCTGGTGTGAAAGGGCTTGCAAAGCTCCTCCAGCCTCCCATCAACACATGGAGGCTACAGTGTTGAAACACTCAGGGAAACTAACTTCGGCCTTAACTTCTCCCCGTGCTAAGAAAACTTTTTCAGCCTTAAGAAACAGTCCTGTTGATTGAGACAGCACTTGAGCTGTTAGCTCTGGAAATCCAGTCTGCAACAGAGAGCAGAACATGCTGTGCCATCGCTTACACCAGACCCTACTGTGCCCTCCACAAAGGTGAAGCCTGTGTGTCTCCAGAGACTGACAGGAATCCTCAGCAGCAGAATGGCTGGGTCTCTGTTTGCACTTCAAAGAATCCTGAAAGCCATCAACAGTTGGGCCGGAGAAGGTTTGACCTTGTCACTTGCACCTGAACAGCAGAACATCCCCTTTGAGAGAATAAGCATGTGCAGGCTTTAGAAACCTCTGCTCCATTCAGCAGGGCTTTCTCAGGACTGGGATGCCTTAGCTTTAATGGCCAGCAGGCCAATCCTTTCTGTTTGGATGACAGAGCCACCATTCTTTGCCTGGGGAAGGTCCCACAACAGTTCAAGCTCTGACTCTCAGAAGTCCCAGAGCTGCAGAGCCACAGCAACAGCTCAGCCTAAGCTCCCCCTCCCAGACACACAGACAGCACATATGTAGGGAAGAGATGAAAAAGAATGCAAAGACTGACACATAATTTCTCTTAACTTTCAGTGAAAACCTCTAATTACTCTGCCTGAAATAGACTTCTCACTGCCATCTATTACCAAGCTTGATTTTAGATGTTTTTCAAAAGTGGAAAAGAAATCTTTTGTTTCATTTTGTTTCCAAGTGGTGCCTGTGACACTTGAGAATGTGAGGATACATATGGTTCTACATATGTGAATATGCAATGTCTTGGTCTTGGTTTGAATCTTAGCAGAGACAACTAACACCTGTCAATACATTTCATGGCAGAAATCACTTATTTCTCTGACTTTGAAACAGCTAAGACTTTCACCAGTGAACGAGCAGAGTCTTGGTGGGAGAGAACACTAAGCAGGTGAATGGACATAGCTATTGATTTCATGATACTTTTTTCCTAGCAGATCACAACTTTGTGACACTTCACAGTTCAAGAGATACATTGTAAAAAGACAGAGTAGGAGTCTCCTGTTAGGGCTGAAGTTGCTTTAAACATAAGAGCATCAGGACAGAACAACAAACAAGCAGCATCTTTTGCATAATTCAACTGAATAACTATTTCACCTCAAAAAAAAAAAACCCAAGCAGCAATGTGATCGTGTGTTTACGCCAGAACAATCAGACATGACCTGTGGAAGCACTTTTAAAATTGAAACAGGAATTATAGTACATTGCATAAGGTCTGGGCAGAAGCTGGTTACATCAGCTTTCTTTGGCACTTCAATTAGGTGGTAACATGAAACAATTTTACTACTACCACTGCATTTTCAAACTCACAAATAGAACAGGAAAACTTCTGCTGTTCAGAAGAAGAACATCCTTGTGGGAACACAAAGCCAGGGAACAGATCATGTTTGTGCAGTATTCTCAGGAGTGCATACAAGGCCTGAGTCTCACCTGAACACATGGACAGCAGAGGAAAATGTGTATGACCAGACATTGTTAGACACATTTCAAAGTACTTTTAGGGCTTCTCAGATTCCACACTGCATTAACAAAGTAAGGATAAGGTTAGTGCTTACCCACAGATGCATAATCACTGGGGAGTTCAGGATAAAGTTTGTTTGTGTTCTTTTTAGCTAAAAGAGAAAATAAAGTAGCAACTTATACCACATACTACCTACATCGCTATATTTCATATACTGCTTTTTCAATAGTGTTCAATAGTGATAACATGATTGCAGTTACCTAAGGAGCAGTGCAGAAGAAAGAAATAAGGACTTTGTCTCATATCCTTGACCAGAGAAATAACACCAGAAACTGCCCAGTAAAACCTCACTGTCCATGAAAGCACTTTGTCAGACCAATGTCAAAGAGCTGAACCTGTCCCTCTTCTGCTCTGCTGTAAGACTCCTACTGACCAACAACAGTGACAACCTAAAAGACAAACACTCATTTCCAGAAACCAGAAGTTTCTAGAACTAAGACTAGCAGTTCCTAGCAGGACTGTTCTTTTTACTAAGAAGTTCCTTTGTACCATGGAGCTTCTACATATCCAACGACCATGAAAGATTCTTTTGAACTACTACATGATTCTGCAACTGCTGCTCTTGAAACAAATGTGTCAGAGAGAGAAGGTTTGTTAACATCTGACAAACAAACTCTTTATTGCTCATGGCACTGCCCAACATGCTTTCAGTGTTTGTCCAAGGAGGACTGTTAACAACCATTTTTACAGAGGCAGCTACTGCTATAACAACTGCACAGTATTTATTAGCCTTAATGTCCTAATTTCACAGAGAAAATGAATCAATCATCATCAAAACATTTTTCACCTGGTGCTGTAGGTCTGACAGCAGGTTTAGGTGGTTCTGGTCTGGATGCTGGTCTAGCAGGTGGGTCATTTACCTAAAACACACAAACTTTTATCAAATGGTGCATCACATCTGGACATAGACTGTGACTTCAGAGCCCAGAGGTAAGTCAAGTTACACTGAAAAAAACATTTAAACCCACTCTTTCTCCACTGAACTGGTGTGAACTCAAGAAGCACACTGAAAACTAGTGACATACCCCCGAGACTAAAGTAATTCACCATGGGTTTAACAAAGCTGAAAGTAAATAATTGGCTGTCAGGAACATCAACATTTACAGGAAAACACCTTCTACAGTCTCAGTGTTATACTGTAAGCATGATTTTTTGAATGGAAGACAGAAAAAGTAGAAAAATGAAGAGTATCCACACTGAGTTACTGCAGAGTAACTTGATTAGGAATACTTGAACAAACGTTTCTAGTCACCACCTCAGACCTGACAATGCACCATTAGAAAACAAGGACATACTCTGCTATTCTGGAGGATGCAAAGTAAAACCAGCCACATTCCTGTCCACGAGAGCCTTGCAAGGGAATACTCAAATAAAGGCACTACAGACCTGCAGCACCTGCTGTGAATTCAGGCATCCAACAGAGAAGTTAGCAACTGCCACAGGAACATCAACACTGACTAGGCACAGCTCAGGAACAGAAAAAGTCTATGTGAGAAAGAGGTGCACAAACCCTTCTTTGCTCCCTTACCGATTTTCCTGGCTTGTTCTTCTGCTCTTCACTTTCATACACCTCAGTGAAGGATGCTAGAGTTTCATGGAGATCATCTGCTTGAGCAGGAAAAGGCACATCCCCGAGCAGGATGGCACTGGCACGGATATCCTGCCCATAAAACCTGACACAGAACAGAGAGGTATTTGATCATTATTACATTTCAAGTTCCAGACAAACTCACCCTGTGCAGATGCTCCTCCCTGTCCATCCCTAGCCCTGCATTTTTCCTACTGATCACACACTGAGAAATACTCTGCTCCTGGGTACATGGTCTGCATCAGCTAGGCCATCTGAAAGCCAATCACACAGCAACCTGAAGAAACACTCCCCTTCTGCAAAACATCATAAAAGATCCCTTAATGTAGTAAAATTCCTTGATGGAAACACCAATTGGATAGCAATTGGTAGGTGACCTCACTGCCTGTATCTCAAGCTTGTCTTGCTCTCCCCCCCACCCTGCTGAGCAGGGGGAGTGACAAAGCTCCTCGGCTGGCATACCATGGCTAGCTGAGGTCAAGCTACCAAAGACAAATCATCTCTAAACATTCAGCATCACCTCAGTAACTACTGAAAGTTGTCTAAGTTGAAGAAGCCCTTGCCCCTCAAGAAACTCTAAACAGCACAGTAAGCTCTGGCCAAAGTTTCCCAGCTGAACATGCTCACTCTGTCACTGAGCCTGCACTGGCTCTTCCAGCCTTGCAGAGAACTCACTTGCGATTTGTCTCTTTCCTTTCGATTAAGCAGGTTCCCTCCAGAGACACCCCTGCAAACAGCCCTCGAGACTTGCAGTATGTGTAGACAGCAGCAGAGCTTCGCAGGGCAACATCCCCTTCCAGGTTTCTAGAAGGAAAAAGTTTGGGGTGATGTTCTTCAATGTGGCCTTGCAACGCCAACAGCTACAGTCTGTTCATTTTAATCCTGCTCAAACTCAGCAAGACTTTCACTCCCCACTGTTCTCACAAACTACTGAACACATGCAAGTGGGTCAGACCTGAAATCCATTTTCAGTTCTTATTTCAGCCTGGACCCAGTACAAAGCAGTTCAGTGCTTTGATAAGGTTTCCTCTGAAGCACAGAACACTGCCTGATGTGAATGCTCCACATTTGACCTCCTCTTGCATTCAGAAATCTGAAAACTACCCACATTTTAAAATGATCTAATTATGTTTGGACTGGTGACTGGAGCTCTACCCAATATATCCAAATCCTTCTGGATTTTATGGTCAACACAAAGCATTTCAAGCAAGGCCTTATCACACCTCAAAAGAACTGGAAGATTACAGTATTTATCATACGTGGGATCACGTAATATTTTAGGTCTGAAGACAGTCAACTCAAAATGGATGTAACATCCTACTGAGTTTAGGTCTGAAGACAGTCAACTCAAAACGGATGTAACATCCTACTGAGAGCAAGCAGGTTGTTCTGGGCTTTGCCTGGCCAGCTTTTTAACAATTCCAGGGACGGAATTCCACAGACATTCTGAGCAGCCCATACCAGTGCTCAATTATGCCGTGCCAAAATTCTTTTCTCATATCCAGCCAGAACCTTCCTTGCTTCAGTTTATGACTACCACCTCTCACTGTTTTGCCATGCACCACGCACAGAGAACTGAGGTCTGTCTTCTTGGTGATCTCGTGGTGGGAATGCAGCCTCCTAGAAGAACTCATGGAGCCCAGCAAGCACTCTCAGCAAAAAAAGAGCCAATCTCAGAACACTTTCCTTCTACCAAAAAATTACCTAACCAGAAGAAGAAAAAGGGTGACTGGCAAGAGCAATATGAACCAGTCAACATACAGGCTGCACAGGTTGCTCTGTACCACATCAGAACAAGCCAGGTCGATGTTTACACACAGCTTTAAAAATTATCTTCCATACATCCCAAATTTGGGAAGTATTGTACCCACCTCCCCAGAGGTCCAATTGCCACAGTAAGATTTCCTCCAAGTGTGAGATTCCCTCCTTTGGCAAAAGCTTCTACTGCTCGTTCATGATTGAGGATTATCACCAAGTCTGAGACCTGTAAAACACCAGATCAAAGCACGAGGCCTTTTCGGATGGAAGAGCAGCACAGGAGAGGCTCTTCCTTTCTTCTGAAGGATTCTTTTCAAACAGCTTTTGTAACGCAGTTGATTCTTTTTCTGCAAGGTATTTTGAAACTCAAAATCCTTCCAATTACTTTTGTGGTTGAATTTGAGTGATTTTTGCCAAAGTGCTCAGTATGCAATAACTGCGATAACAGAGATCCTATTTTAATTCCAAATTCCCTGATTAACCAATTCCTATTTCCTGTGGCTTTTGCAAACAGTTACGAAGGCATTTCAGATGTAAATCACTTTGATCCTTTCATAATCCAATTAATAACAGCAAGACAGAACTTATTAAAGAAAAATTACTGTCCAAAGAGCAAACAGCAAAAGGATACAGGTTTTCCCTCTACTGACAAAACTTTCTTTCCTTGACAAGGGATGTACATACACACACAGATACAGATGTGTCTTTGTGTGTGTATCTATGGGAACCATTAATCAGTTTTGAAGGACTTAAATATGAGAGGTACTCAGTGCCTCCAAGAACCTGTTAAACCAAACAGCTGAAGAGGTAACCATGCATTTTTGAAAGATGGAAAATAAAAAAACCACCGTTTCAAAAGGCTTTATTTTTGCGGAATTGTGACATAAAATGCACACCTCAAAGAACTTCTATGAGTATTTAAGCTGAGGCCTCTAACCATCAGCACTGTGAAGCTGCAGCTCTTTGATTTAACAAATCTCAGCAGAAGTCTCCCACAACTCTTCTTCCAAACTAGGGAACATTTTAAAGAGGGAAAAAGTCTTTCAAACACGTGCATGGTCCCACAAAGACCACTCCTGCCTGCCTGAAAGCTCAGTAAACATACTACATGCTGTAAAGAACCTCACAGAGCTGCTGCAGGGTCAGCCTGTTCAGCACTGCAGGTTACACTTATGGGTTATCTTTCCAACAGCTACCTCCACTACCCAAGGACTGCTGCACCTGACCTGTCACCTGAGGGACTGCACTGCAAGCCAGGTTCAGAAAAAACTTTGCACTTACCCCGAATTCCCAACAGGGGCAGCAGGGAATACAAGAGGAAATAGCAGATTATTTGCAAAACAAGGCTGGCCTGGAAGCATTACACACAGCATAAGAGAGGTCTTTGTTATCAGCCCCCTGGTCCCCTCCACCCCACCCCCGACCAAAGGGGGTGACAGGAGCAGCTTCTGAGTCACCCAGGGATGGAGAGAGAACATCATTCAGGATGCTGCTAACTCCTGCCCATGAAGAGGATGAATCCACTGCCAAAGCTATGTGAACCCAGAATGAGAAAACCATCGAGGAAAGTGTATCAATTTTAAATCTGGTCTTCAATTTGGGGTACCAAGCAGTTTACTGTGACTTCTGATGTCTGTGGTTTCCTTCTTGTTGTTTGAAACCATCCATAAGTACCACTATGGCAACTACAACCTCCCCTCCAGGAAAAAATTCAACCAGTTCTGCAATGTGTCAGCTTTACAGGAATGCTGGAGTTGGACTCTGGGCTCCTAAGCCACTAAGGCACTTCTGGATAGCACATATGTTCTAGAAGAAAGAAATCAGATTGTGTGATCATAATGCCAGTAAGGAAACAGCATTTTGTAAGCTGGCTAAAATTTCAAATGAAGGGCACAGTGTTACTCAGAAAAAAGCCCTCTCACAAACAGCTTCTGTGCTGAAATTGTTTCAGTATCAATAATAAAAGGCTGCATGAATCTAAAACATCAGGTGGGGATGATTCAAGGAAAATGTTCAGAGACTAATCGAAACACGCGTGGAGCCTGTCTCAGGGTCTTCAGAGGAAAAAAGGAAACCAAACACCACATAAAACAAACCCTGGGGCTCACACTCAGTGTTTTACAATAGATTCAGACCCTGTCCTCACAAAAACCTAAGAAAATGCCCCAGGTGTGAGTGGGAACGTGCCATGAACGCACAGTAACGCTGGCTGGACTCCACTTTACTCCACCTTCAACTCCTCTCACTGTCTCTGGCCAGAGGAGTCCTTGTGCTCTCCAACAAACCATTTGACACAGTATCAAGTGCAGGACACTTTCTTAATTAACTCCAGTCGGCTTATATGTGAATACTGGCAGGAAATCTTCCACCAGTGAAAACTCATTCTGCTAGAAGTGAGAAATCAAGGAAACTGCTGTTATGTCCCTTCTCATCTAAATCTCCCCAATTAGACTGACAGGATCAAAACTCCTGTTCTGTTTGTCTTGCATCAATGAATTTTACAATAGCTGGCTTTTGTACAGAAAAGGAGATTCTATATCTCACTAACATTGAGATCTTTGTAAATGCATTTTAATTTCTTGCAAAAAAAGTTACCAACGAGTATTTCAAACGCAAAGTTGTACCTCGATTCCAATTTCAAATCCACCACCAAGGCCAGCAATTCCTATGGCAGAAGGAGCAGACCAGGCTGTCATACAAAACAAGATAAAAGTACAGGATTTTAACCACATGTTACAAGCAATACTCAGTTTAGTATCACAGTTAAAAACGCTAACCAATTCTCTATTTTAAACTGTTCAGAGCCACTACAATAGAATCACATCGCCAAAAAGTTGCATCCCAAAGGAAGGGATTTCAGAAAGGCAAACCCTCGTGATCTCAAAGAATCTTTGTCACAAATTACTTATCACACAGTTGCTCATAATTGGGTACAATTTCTTTCATGAATTTTAAACTATGTAATTTATGTTTCACCCTTTTCCACACGGAGAGTGGGACCATTTACACCTGGTCAGAGCAGGTACAGCCAAACGTTGCCACTGCTGCCCTGACTCCTCACATGTCTGATGTTACAGAAACAAATCATGAGGAAAAACATTCTCACTTCCGGTGACTCTTCCATGCAGCACAAAAGGCAAACATGCACTTACTTCCATTGGGCAGCCGAGCTAAGACGATGCCACTGCCGCCGCGCGCGGTCAGCAGGGACCCGGCCCTGATGACAGACAGCACTGCCAGGCCTCTGGCCTTGGCTATGACATGGGCTGAAATGGAAAATCCCTCAGTCAACATCTTGAAACACATGTTTAAAGACGAGGGGGAAATAAAACTCCACACGTAACAGTTTTGAACACGTAAGAGTCAAATTACAAGCTTAAAGGAAACTGGGAAAGGTTTGAACTCATAGTGACACTTCCAACCCATGTGAACCACCAAGGGAGCTGCAGGTCACATTAGCCTGTGATAATTTATATGTTGCCACAACTGCTTCACCTGTTCTGATTAGCTCACACAGAGCTACTTTGCTTAGTGCCACACAGGCTGAGTGAGTACCCTCAGCAAGGTAAGCAAAACCAGGCAGTGAACAGCTGACAAACAAGTCTCCATACATTTTTGGAGGACCCCAAATTTAAACCACAGCAACACAGAATCACAGAATCAACCAGGTGAGAAAAGACCCCCAAGACCAACCCTACCATGGTTACTAGACCATGGCACTAAGTGCCACATCCAGTCTCAGCTTGAAAACCTCCAGGGATGGTGAATCCACCACCTCCCTGGGCAGCACATTCCAATGCCTGAGCACTCTCTCTGCAGAAAATCTCTTCCTATGATCCAACCTAACCCTCCCCTGGCAGAGCTTGAGTCTGTGCCCTCTTGTCCTGCTGCTGTTGCCTGGGAGCAGAGACCAACCCCCACCTGACTCCAACCTCCTGTCAGGGAGTTGCAGAGGGTGAGAAGGTCTCCCCTGAGCCTCCTCTTCTCCAGGCTGAACACCCCCAGCTCCCTCAGCCTCTCCTCATGCCACTTGTGCTCCAGTCCCTTCCCCAGCCTCGTTGCTCTTCTGAAGTGTTTGGTTGCCTTAAGAGATCATATTTTTAGAGAACCATTTCGTGGCAGTTTTGCTGTTGCACACATTAACAGAAGATCTCAGAAATCCTCTTCTATGAGGGGAACCAACACCTCCACCTCAAAGGAAAAAGAATCATGCAAGTAATTTTATCAATATAGTCATAATTCTACTGTCTGACAGCAACTGTCTCTTACTGTAATGTTTCCTTTTATTATGCAGTTTCAGAAAAAAGCTTGTCTCCATGTTAAATCAGCACCAACATCCTCTAACATTATTATGATAACCCAGGCACAAAATGAAATTTGTTTTTTAACCACAGTACTGCATTCTGTCCAACACCTCTACTCCAACTCAGTGGAGCTGTAACTCCTCTCCTGTGCAACATCCTAACCAGTTTATATCCTCAGAGAGTGTGCAAGGCTTATTACAGATCTTCTGCATCAGAAGAGTTGTGAATTCAAAGCCACAACCAGCAACACCAGATGAAGGAAGACATGAGGAGAAAAACAGAGTAACAACTGCAAGAATCAAGAGGACAGCAGCAAAGAAGAGTGCTTAGTCAGCATGAAAGGAGAAATGAAATCCTTCAGCTTCCTTTCACCCAGCCCATTTGATAAACACTGATACTCAAGGACTAGGTCTGCTGTTCCAGAGCAGATGTACAGGCTGAGCCCACACAGTCCACCCTCCCCAGCACGAAGCCTTCGTGTGCAGGTGCCCTGTGGGTCAAACACTCACAGCTCCTCTCCCAGGATGTCACACAGCAAACAGAAACCCTTTACTTCCCAAATGTTTCAGACAGGTTAAGGCACTCGGAATTTTCACCTATCTCTAGGATGTGCTCAGGGGCAACAGAGGGAACTGGTAAAGTGCCTGGCTGCAACACAGGGGAGTGCTGGAGGTTTTACCGAGTCAAAACGTTCTCTTTACTCACGAGGTATGATTTTATCTGGTCCATTTCTAGAAGTTATCTCTGTAAATTCACGCAATATTTTAGCTGCCTTTTTAGCTTCTGACTTCAGGTTGGAAGGTATAGGGTTATTCACTGTAAGACATGAAAGAGATAAAATTATAGCTGTGGTCAGCTCAGGACATCTCAGACAAACAAAACAGTGTAACTTGTATGGGAAAAGAGTGAAATAAAGAGTAAACCAAACAAACAGGGAAACAGCAAATACAAGGAATTATCTTCTGCCTCAGACTCACATTTTGCCTGAGTTTTAACAGAAGACACCACTCAGGAAGAACATCCATGCCTGGTTCTTTTGTGCAACCTGTTCCACCAGGATACACACTGGTAACAGCAAAGGTGTTGGAGATACATCCTCAGTTGTTCCTGCCACTATTTATTTGTTTATTACACACGAACATGTCTAATACTTTTCCAAACCTGCAGAATCTCTGCCCCCAGAACTCCTGCAGCAGCAGTTCACTACCTGCTACTCAAAGAAACATGTGACCTCCTCCAAATCACTCTCCTGGTTCCAGTGAACACCTGCTAGCTCCAGACTCACACTCTGTGGAGCATCCAATGTGTTCTGCTTCCCACCAA